TTTAAGATTCAAAATCTAAATATACAGCTTTGGGGGAGCGGGTCAGGGGATCGATCCTGCTATATTCTTGTGATGGCCTCTTGAATCTCCTTGTGAAAGAAATGATTCAAGGTCCCTGGGCAGGGACAGCAAAGCAGCAGGGGTCTGATGGGCTCCCCCTTCTCTGTGGCTTCTATAGGTGCCGGGGGCCCGGCTCCCTCCCTGAGCATCCCGGGCTTCCTGGCTCATGCATGTTCATCCTGTTCCCTCTGCAGGCCCAGTATGTCAGGACTCCACCTGGTGAAGAGGGGCCGAGAACAGAAAAAGGTGGATCTGCACAGAGACTTCACCGTGGCTTCCCCAGCTGAGTTTGTCACACGCTTTGGGGGTGATCGGGTCATTGAGAAGGTACAGTTGGGGTCTTGGCACTCTGGGTGGGGCCGGATGGGGTGGGAGAACCAGCTTCAGGCTGGGAGCTCACACTGCAGAGACGGGGCGAGGGCCATTTCTTCACAAGCACTTGCTAAGTGCTGGGCACTGGACTGCGTGAGTTTTTCACCCTCATGACAGCCTGAAGCAGCAGGAGCCTGACCCCATTTCATAGAGGAGGAGACTGAGGCCTCTGAGCAAGGTCAGGAGGCTCCCCGAAGGACCCTGAGGTGCCTTCGTGCAAGGGGTAGCTTCCTAGGTTATTATTGGGAGGGAAGCATAAAACCCAGCCCTGCGCTCCCAAGATTTGCAGCTCCTTAGAGGAGAGGAGATCCGTGTACTGGAATGACAGTCACGAAAGGAAACAGCTAAAATTTGCCATTTTTGAAAGGGGAGAAAGAACGCTGAACCTAAGCCCGGAGCTCTGGGATCTGTCTGCTGTGGCCACTCGGGATATAACATCTAGGCCCAGTTTTTCCTTCTGTAAAAGAGAGACACATCCCACATCTCTAATGAGACTTGCTCTTCAGGGCTGTTGTGAAGGTTCGTCAGCCATGTAAGGGCCTTAAAATTATGGACTTGCTACGTGAGTCAGAGCTTTGAAGCCATGTGCCTAACTTATTTATTTATTTATTTATTTATTTATTTATTTATTTATTTATTTATTTATTTATTTATTTTAAGCTGAGCCATCCTGCCACCTGTTGGCAGCTCAGAGGCTGCTCAGCTTGGACCGGCAATCAAACCCTGTTACTCAGAGCTCAAACTCTTGAGCGAGCTCTTAACCAACTGAGTCACTCGGCAGGCCCCGTGCCTAACTCTTTTAAACAAGAAAACTAGAGCTTGGTTTTATTTCTTAGAGCCCAAGCCAGTGGCTGGCCAGTCTGAGCTCCTTATGTGGAGATGAAGATGGGAGAGGGAAGGGAATTGCCTAATACCACACAGCAAGTTCATGAAACGAACAAAGATTGAAACGAGGACCCCTTCTGTTGCTCTTTATTGCTGAGGACAGCTGGCATTACTGCCTTTCCTCTTGACCAAATCTGGGATCTTTAACCTGCAGGATGCAGAGGCAACCATCAGGGGCCATTCAGAGAACAGGTCAGACTATGGAGGACTTGAGTCCCAGCTCTGCCACTTATTAGCTGTGTGACCTTGAGCAAGTGCCTTAACTCCTTGAGTTTTAATGCCTTTAACCCGAAGTGAGGATAATAATAAAACCTCTTTCAAAACAAAGGGCTGTTATGAGGATGAAATGAAATAGGCTGGTGAAATACATTGCATTGTAGCTTGGTACCTACTAAACACTCAAAAAATGTTAGGTGATCATGATGGCACCCAATAAAGGAATAAAAAATCATTCATTTATCCATCCATCCATCCACCCACCCACCCACTTATTCATCTATCCATCCATGCATCCATCCATCCGTCCATCCATCCACTCACCCACTCATCCATCCATCATCTATNCTTACACGGATGCCCCCGCAGCTACACCTGCGCCCCTAATGAGGTATTAATGTTTTATGGATCACGCTAAGCTTTTGGCTGTGGCAGGCATTCTTGGGTTTTCCTAGGATTTAATTCTGATGTAAATTGACCTGGAGTAATGGTTTCTTCCATTTTGCTTTTTTCTTTCTGGGCTCCAGGGGTTTAAGCCGAGCTCTGGAACAGTCCAGGAACTGAATTTCCGGAGCAGCAAGAATGTGTGGGGTTATTTCAGTGTGGCTGCTGCCGGTGGCTTACACGAGTTTGCTGATTCCCAGTTTGGGCACTGCTTCTCCTGGGGAGAGAACCGGGAAGAAGCCATTTCGTGAGTATCTCCTGCCTTCCCTCCCTTCTGCCTCTCTCCCTCCTTCCCTCCTTCTTTCCTCCACTCCTTCCCCGCTCTTTCCATCCCTTTCTTCCTTTAAGAAACTAAACGTTAGCCCGTGGCTGCAGATGCAGTAGCACGTTAGGAGATCAAGGGAGGTGAATCACGGAGCAAACCGTGTTTTCAATACCCTGTACTGAAGTTCAAGAACCACATCTACTCTCTTCCTGTATTTGAGATCCATGAAGTAAAATGACCTCACCAAGGTCATTTAATAATTGAGCTTATTATAGGTCGAACTTGAAGGAGAGACAAAGGATGTTCGAGGTGATTCCAAACGTTTAAAAGGTGCTGAGTACTGTAGCTTTTTAGAGAAAGGCGTATGTGTTGGGCGGAACTCCTTTAAATTTAAATCTCATAAGTAGTTCCCGGAGAAACCCACATTGACAAAGCGGCCCCTGAATTCTGAAACACATCTTAAGCTTTCTCCTGCCTTGACCTGGGCGCAGAAAGTTCAAAACCAGTTCACCTTGTAATTCACCGTTCTTGTGTGGATAAATAATTGTCTTTTAATGTGAAAAATCCCAAAGGCATTGTGGACATTTCATTTAAAAAGCATTAAACTCTATCTGGCCCTGGGCACTTAGCCATGAATGAAATTGAATTTGGTGATTTGATGAGCTGGCTTTCTTTGCCAGCTTTGAATAATTTTCATCATGCTCAGTAAAATATGGAGACCTTTGGAGCTTAGGGAGGATTTCAGCGAATAAGAATTAATTGGGGGGCGGAGGGAGGTCCGCCTGCCCAGCCCACAAAGGAAGTGGCTTGTGGCTTGTCCCATGCTGAGCATGAATCACCAGCAGCAACTGCAACAGGATGCAAAGGAAAAAATCCCAGCTTTTTCTTTCTTACTGCTGTCAGAATCCAGTAGGGGGATCACCTGTCCAAGTTTTCCTGGGATGGTGGGATTTCTCAGTGCTATAACTGGTCAAGTCCTGAGCAGACCAGGACAAGTGGGTCACCAGTAGGTTCCACAACCGTAGCCTATTGACACCCTTCCTTGACCTCACTACATCTTCATTTTCTCACCCCCCAAATGGAGTGGTTATTGCCACACCTGCTGATAGCATGCAGGAACCCTGTAACAGGTGTGAAAGCTCTCCTCTCCCGGGAAGAGAAGCCTTCAAATGCTTCGTCTTTCTCTGGTGCATTTCCCCAAAATCACTCTCCCTGTGACTTCAGACGGAGCGGAGGTTTCAGCCCTTTGGACTGGGAGGCCCTGTTTTGGGGGAGGCCCCTCTGGGAAATGGGAGGTGATGACCAGCCAAGTACATGTGGGCTGGTGACCACCAAGCCCTGGGTGGGGTAACAGTGTTAGCCGTCTGCCGGTGTGTCCCATGCACACCGGGCAGAGCTGCCAGAGGGCGGCACCAGCTCTGGGACATGGCGACTTGAATAGGTCCAGTGGGAGCCAGAGGTAAAGTGACTAGCAGTGGTTCATTAGAAACATAATCATGGTAATTAATCACGTTCATAGCAGCTGACGTTTATTGATCAGTGTCTGGGCGCTTTATATTATGGATGGTCTCATTGGCATGCTCAAGCACCTGTGTGAAGTCAGCGCTGTTTCCCCATTTTTCCAGATGAGGAAACTGAGGCTCAGGCAGTTGAGTCACTTGCCCAAGATGACTTGACTAATAAGTGCTGGAACTGAGATTGACCCAGGCTGTCTGACTCAGGGCCTTCTTAGCTGCTGTGCTGTACTGGCTCTCGGGGAACCACGCGGGAACTCACTGACTCGTATGTTAATTGAAAAACAATCCATGTGCTTTTCCCCTCCAGCAACATGGTGGTGGCTTTGAAGGAACTGTCCATCCGAGGTGACTTCAGGACCACCGTGGAATATCTCATTAACCTCCTGGAGACTGAGAGCTTCCAGAACAACGACATCGACACCGGGTGGCTGGATCACCTCATCGCTGAGAAAGTGCAGGTGGGGAGTGTCTCCCCTCTGGAGTGCAGAGACCCCCCCCCCACCCAGCTCCCCGGGGGCGTGCTCGCCAGGAATACTGAAGTGCATAGTCTTTCCTAGGCCGAGAAGCCGGATATCATGCTCGGGGNTGGGTTTGACTTGATCAATGCCTTTATTTTGTCATCATCAACCTCAGTGGGCCTCGCTGACTGAGGAGCGTCGTTGAGATCAAAATCACCATCATGGAATTTTGTGAACCATCATTGACACTGATGTTCTTATAGAGCATTGTCACTGTAAACTTTATGCAACTTTTCACAAGCTTGACGCGCATTCTTCCCTTTATGGAAGGAAAACAGTAAAATATGGCAAAAATGCACAGTTTGGTCTACCATTTTCAACTTGTTGTAAAATCTCCAAAACTCAACCAAATCGCTCAGTTTTTTTTTAGAATGAAGCTAGAACTGTCAGCTGTCAAACGACATAGCAATAACATAGATGCGAATGACTCTAGTACGTCCAAAAATGAACTAGTGCCATCTGTTGCAAACATGTGTCATGACTTTTCCGACAACCCGATACAAATTAACCATACCCTGTGCCTAGATCTACTAGTTGTTAGCATCTCGCCACGTGTGCTTTCAACTTGTGTGTTTGTATAATTTTTTTTTGGTCCAACCTTTTGAGATGTTTTGACTTGAACCGTCTTGCCACTTTGCCTCTAAATACTTCAGTATAAGTACCTCCTGAGAACAAGGACATTTTGTTACAGTACTACAATAAAATTACCACGCTCGGGAAATCCAGCATTGATACCACCCCATATCTACCTAATATTATCGTCCATGTTAAAATTTTCCCAGTCGTCCCCATAAGGTCCCAAGTTTGTAGCTGTGTTTTGTTTGTTTTTTAAATCCAGGATGCGATCCAGGATCATATATTCCATTTCATTGTCATTTCTCTTTAGCTTCTAATTTGAGACCGTTTCTTAGTCTAATTTTTTTCATTTTTGATGTTGGCATTTGTGAAGAGTTCAGGCAGAATGTTCCCAGTTTGGATTTGTCTGATTGTTTCTTCCTGGTTAGAGTCTCTTGAAACATTTTGGCCAAGGATCCCACAAGTGTGGTTGTGCCCTTCCCGAGTCACATAACAATACACAGTCTGTCACATTTGACCATTTAGCTAAGGGTCCGTCACTGCCTGGTTTTCACTCATTATTTTAGCTCCAGTTGCCCTGCGTCCTTCACAAAACCTTTCATTCTGCGATTGGACCCCTTTCCGCCTCACCTTTTATATTATGGCACTAAAATCTGTAACTTTTATTTAACACGCTAACATCTGTAATTTTTATTTAACTTTTATTGTCTTGTCGTGTGATACTGTTTTACGAATGCTGCTTCCTTTCCTAGTGGCACGATTGCTCCGTGGGGACAAAGTCAAGCCTTTTGTCTTTTCTTTCTTTGCCTCTCCTGCCACCGTATACAAGTGTTATATGTGTGTTAGCGTCTCAGTATATCTGAAATTGTTCACTGTACCTCTTCCTCCATCGCATCGAGCACTATGCTTGGTGTTTAGGGGCCAGGGGTCTCGTGGGACTGACAGTCATGGGATGGATTTTTTTTTT